ATGTTTTTCTTTAAACAAAAATCATTTCTTGATTTGTCACAGCTTTGATCACGACCATAAAGAGTCTTACTCCTCTTCCTTGTTTTATTTTGGCCTCTCGCAACAAATGTCTTCGAATAAGAGGAACCCGTTGATTTTTTTTAGTTTCTTCATTTAACAAGTTACTAGTGACTTGGCTCATTGTGACAACTCCATCAGGCGCCGAATTACTAACCGTTACAACCAAAGTCTCCCAACTTTTAAGCAAATAATTAAGTAGCATCAAAACTTGCAACTCATCATCAAAAATAATTTTCATAAAAGCAAGTTGGTTAACAATACTCTTTATTTCATTCAAATGTTCTGGAATGGGGCTGTCATCTTTATATTTTAAATTAACCAACTTTCGAAATATAAAATTTTTATTTGTGACTGATTTTCTATCATAAAGACTTTGTAATTTTTTTCATAAATCATGTGCTGAAGTATTATAGCAACATAATAAAACACACTGCCATCAATCCATTAACGGAAAACACCAACGACTTTTTGATTAAGCCTCTTCCATTCATGATCGTTCATACCCTCGATTTTGTCACTATCACTCTCAATTGGTCCATACAAATCTTTACAAAATAATAGGTCCACCATTTTAGTTTTTCAAGTTACCCAATTGCTTCCATTGAAACTAGACATATGACCCACATTCCCCTCCATTGATTTACACAAATAAATGAATCCAAATAAACCGTAAGCTCCGATACCAGTTGTTAGGAAAAATAAATGATTTTACACAAGTAAATCAATCAATAAAAATAAAAACTAATGCGAAAAAATTAAATGCGGTTCCCTCAATGTAAGGTACGTCTACAGGATCGAAATCCGATTCCACTATCAACTAATAGTTTTCAAACGATTACAAACGAGATACGGATAGCCTCACAAACCATCCTTAAATAAATTTCAAATAATCACAAGTAATCAAGAGGAAAGTCCATCCAAAAAATGTTTCAACCATAAGATCATCTTGAAATTACAAACTTTGATTTTCCAACCCAATGTCAATTTTAAGCCCTCTCTCGCCCTCCGCTTTCATCACTAATGAAAAGATGGATTATTTTGTTAACTTATCCATCTTTTGTGAATAATTTTGTGAATTTACTCACCTTCTTCTTCTTTCTTGGAAGCCATTACCATTACTAAAAAGAACAAAGAATAATTCTATATGTACTAATTAGTATATACACTATTGTATCAATTAGTGATGTGGCATAATTTTAGAAGTTTTGAATATTTGTAATTTATATAATAAATAGAGTCATTAATAATATTATAACATTAGTTGGTATATTAATGTGTACACTAATTGAAACATATAACACTACCGAACAACAAATACCCATTTAACTTCTTTAACTTTTCCGAAGCAATTTACCTCTCTTCATCTCTCTTTTTATCTAACCTTCTTGTGGAATGTCGAATTGAGGAGGTGGCTATGATAGTAAAATAGTGGTAGCTGCGTATAATGCCAAAATTCTCTCTCTGCTCTTAAGATTATGCAAATGTGGACAAATTAGTTAATCGATGTGGGCAGAGAACTAGGATGTCAGTGCGCCAACGTGATAATTTTTTTTCTTTTAGGCATTTCAAAATTTCATTGTACATATTCATTTTTTTATAAATAAAAAAATTCAAAACATAATATTTGAAATCTATCAAATAAGATTTATATTAAATAAGAAATTACGTATCAAAAAAAAAGGCGAAATTTCACAATTTCTGTGTCCAAAACTAAAAATTCAAAATTTCAGTTTCTTAAAATGTGAAATTTCACAGATTTTAATAATTACTGTTTTATTGCTTTTGGGGTAAATACTTTAGTTTTATTTGTAATTTCTTCTATTTTAAAACCATGCCAAGCAACTTATTCAAGGCTCTAAAAATTGTCAAAGACAAGAGAGGATGAGAAAAATATTGAAGAAGTTTCCCCATGAAGATGTTGAAGAATTAATTCCTAATTTGAAATTACTACAATGAAAAGAACCTGAACCTAATTAAAAATAAATAAAACACCATAACAAATACATTATGGACAAATTAAGTATGAATTGTTGTGTAAAACTAACTTAGTATGGACACATTGATATTTTTCATCTAAAACTAAAAAAGAAATATAAATGTATTTTACCTAATCAATTTTATAAATATAAAATAACCACAAATGACTCATATTAAACGCTAATCTAATAACATTGTCCAGCAACAACTACTAATCTTATTATACGGAATGCACGGCACCCATTCCTCTTGAAATTTGCTAAAAATATTAGTAAATATTTTAGATTCTCACTTTTTCTCCTAAATCCAAATATGAAATCACAGTTTTTTATTTTTTATTTTTTGAACGTAAAAATCACAGTTCATTCACATATTAACCAAAGCATGAAATTGTGTTGAAGTAAATTCATAAATTACAAATTACAGAATTACATTAAACGTAATAATCACAATAACATGTGAACAATTAGGAAACTAAAAAGGTAGATCAAGGTTTTCCATATATCTGTTGGCCATAAAAGGGAAAGATAATGTTTTTCTCGGTATCCAAACAAACTGTTAGTTTAGCCAAACAAAATGATAGTCATAGTATCTTCTTTTTAATACTTCACATTCACTGGCTTTTTTTTTTTCCTTTTACCTTTTGTAGTTTGAATTATTATTTTTAAATGTTCAAAGATTCAAAAAACTGTCATCAATAATTTTTTTTAAAAAAAGACAACATTCAAATGATATGCTATCTTTTGTATCATCTTCTTTTCCTTTTCTGCCCGAAAGAGAGCCAGCTCATCTTCACAATCACTCTTGTTTTCTGATAGCCAATAGCATTATGCCACGTCAATTGAAAAAATATACTTAAAGTTTTTTTTTCTTTTGTTTGTGTGATTTTGCTTATTATGTTGACCCAACATATAATTGACTTTCCTATTTAGTAATATATTTGCTTTATGCAATTTTCAAAAATAATAATAATAATAATAATAACATTATGTAAATGGGAAATATGGATGAAGTGACCTTATTTTTAATTAAGGTAGATTAGATCAATTTCACTCATTCTGTAATTACTCATCTTATCAATTTGAGAGCATCATGTAAACATACATAGCATTATGAGAATATTGATTAAATAACTACTAAAAAAAAATGTGGTACGATAAACATTACAAAAAAATGTTAGATACAATGAATTTTATTTTTTTTTCAAAAATTATCCCGAAAACAAGTTCTAACGTGCATGGTTTAGATTTTAAAATTAGTAGAATGTAAATCACACCGATAATGAATATAGTTCATAAATTTACTTTATAAATAATTTTATGAGTAATTTTTTTAAATATGCAGTATTATTATAAATGTTAATATTTTCTCTAATAAGGCTCTTAATTACGAGCTACCTACCAAAATAAAAATAAAAATAAAAAGAAAACTCTTGTGGGTCTCTTGTGTTTGGCCACTTTATGTAAATCACATCTTGCTATAAAAGTTCACAATTAATAGTGTAATTTACGAATTAGTACACATTAAATATGCATTATGATCAAGGAATGTGCCATTATACAACTTGGGATATGATTATTAATTTAGGAAATATATATCGGTATATCAGGGAGCTCATGATGCAACCATTGGTCTGATTGATTCTCATGGCCCACCACCCCAACAAATATTATATAGGTTCAAAATCATTTTTTATTGGGGGAATTTGAACAAATAATTATAAATAAGTGATAAATTTTATAAATATTAATAATTTAAAATAATTTTTTTTTCATAAATATGTAATAACCTTGTAGAATTACCACCGAATGGTAATTTTTCATTTTTAGTCTTTAAAATATGCGTTCTTTATCATATTAATCCCTCAAATTTTAATTTTGTCATTTTGATATTTAAAGTTGTCAATTTAAGTTAATTTAGTCTTATTTTTAATGTCCATTTAAATTGATAACAGAGAAAATCTTTTATCAATGAATAAAGGACAATTGTGGTCCCTAAAGTATGCATTTATTATCATTTTAGTCCCTAAATTTTTAAATTCATCTCTTGTCATTTCAGTCTCCCAAGTTTTAAATTTTATCATTTTGATCCTCAAAGCTGTCAATTTGACTTAGGATCAAATTGACAATTTTGAAGACCAAAATGACAAAATTTAAAATTTGAGAGACTAAAATGACAAGAAACGCATATTTTAGAGACTAAAACTATCTTTTATTCATATTTCTATTACCAATGTAGAAGGACCTAGGATCAAATTGACTTAAATTGACAACTTTGAGAATCAAAATGACAAAATTAAAACTTAAGGAACTGAAATGAAAAACAACACATACTTTAAGGATTAAAACTACCTTTTATCCAAAATTTTATCTCAAATTTACTTAGAAATATCAATCTATGGCTTAGATTCATTAAATTTGAACCTCAACCTATACTAATTCAATCTCAACCATACAAACACATTATCTAAAAAAATTTGAAATATTTTTTCCGAGGCAATCGAACTTCTGTTTTATTAGTGATTATTAATTGAGATTCTCTACTTAATACTCTGGTCCAAAATCATTAATGTTCATAGATTAATAAATAATTGCTTCCCAGAAGAAACAGTACTACTTAATGCATGCTAGACCAATAAAAAGGAACCAGAAAACAACCCCAATTTGTAATAAAGGCTAAGAGACCCACAATAACAACTTCAAATATTCCCATAGATTTGATATTGAGGGACAATTTCTGGTTTATATTCTGAGTATACATAGACTTTGTTATTTTTGCCTTTCGTGTATTTTTTTTTTTAAATTTTCAGAATCATCTTGTCGCAACGACTCTACAAATTAAAAAAATAGTAGACATAATTATTTCAAAAAATACTAAAAATAAAAATAAGCTGAACTAAATAAGCCAAAAAACAACAACTCCTCTCCCCAAAGGAGTTAAGTGCCCAGTTGGTGGGATTAGATCAATGGTACCAAATAGTACAACCACACATTATAGACCAAGTTAAACCACCACCAATGACATCTTCCTCAAAATTCAGTTCGTTTTATGTTAATAATACCACTAAGTTCTAAGAGAGGGGGAAAAAAAATTAGGTGTACTCACTTCAAATCTTGCTAAAATTGCTGCATCTCAATCCCTCCCAAAGTGCGTACCCAAAATACTTCCAACAATGCTAGGAACACAGATGAAATTCATATAACATGACATAGATGTGAAAGTGCACTTACACTTATTCAAATACTTCATGTCAATTGTCAGCATATGGACAGCCACTTCCTCAAGTAGTGTTTTAACCATATTAGTTGCAGAGGTCAGGAATAGGGAGGCCCTTACTTTGCATTTGCTTATACATCCATTGTCGATTCTCAGGCGACACTTCTCCTCCAAGGGAACGAATCACAGAGCCACCACTACAACAGCCCATCACACAGCAATCCTCCAGGCTTAGTCCTTTTACCAATCCGTATAAAAACCCGCTTGCAAAGAGGTCACCTGCTCCAGTAGCGTCCGATGCTTTTCCATCACCAATGGCTGCAACTCTGACTATCTGAAAAACACGGTTACTAATGCTTCAACAAGTCTGGAAAAAGGGAATAATATCATTTTCAATTGAAAAATTGCATAGGTTGTTGCCTATTTGTATTTGTTGTACATTAAAGGGCTTTCTCTATCTTGGCTAATTCATAATTCCAGGGCATGCAAATCAAGCAACACATATTGCAACAATTTATTAAGCAAGAACAATATTACCAGAAAACACTAATACCTAGTGATTTACATTTTTAAATGCACATTTTGAAATATAGTAGATTTTCATTCCAAAACCGTGAGTTTAACGATATAAAACGCTCCCATATTTTTTTTCCCAAGATATTTCCTTAGGAGGAAAAAAATTAAATACAATTCTAAAGAGAAGGGAGTTTTGACTGGACAAAATGTAAAAAATATGAGTCATAATGCTCATAGAAATGCATTGTTACATGATCAATTTGAAAATAAATAAACTACACTTTCTAGAGTATCTAAATGTTAAAAAAAAATTACCCTAGAATTACCTTAAATTCTAATGGTAAAATTACAAATCTCCAGCTACTGTACCACATTTTAAAGCAAGTGATGTACTGCATTTCCATTCATGTTCCAAGTATTAGACCGATCCGTGTTCCAAATAGCATTGACAATACCTTTGGAAGGGAAGTTTATTATAAATTACCTTAAATTCTAATTACAACTACAATTGTTTCCTCAAATCGGAAAGATTGAGTTTTATGAATTCACATTTTAGAAAATAGAAAAAAAAATTCCATGTTTTTTTCTTTTCACTAATTTTTTTTTTTATGCAATTGTTTTAATTTTTAGATACACCTAACATAAATATACTTAAAAAGTATAATATTTGTGAAAAAAATATTTAAAAAATTCACTAAATACCAAAAATACAAAAATATAAAATATAAAAAAATTCAGTAGATTTTTTATATTTCTGTGTATTTATTGATTTTTTAAAATATTTTTTTACAAATATTTTACTTTTTAAATACATCTAAGTAAGATGCATATAAAAATTTAAAAATTCACTAAAAACAAAAAAAAAACACGAAAAAGAAAAAACTCAATTTTATATTTTTGTGTATTTATTGATTTTTTTAAAATATTTTACTTTTTAGATACATTTAAGTAAGATGCATCTAAAAAAAAATTTAAAAAAAATTCACTAAAAACAAAAAAACATAAAAAACAAAAAAACTCAATTCTCAGAAAATTAAATCCAGAAAATTGAAACCAAACACAGTTACTCTTTGGAGGGAAGGGTTGTGTACATTTTACTAACCTCTTTGCCATGTTTGGCAATGCAACCACTGGAACCAAGAGTCACTACAGCCCATTGACAGTGTTTTGCCAGATATCTCAGAGCAGCTTCAGGATCAGTATCTGAGTTGCCCCTAAAGCCAACAATAGGAATTCACCATTAGGGCAAACAAGATTGTTCAAAACTTTTATCATCAAAATCAAGAACAAAGGTATCCATAATTAATCGAGCATGTAATCTCAATCAAGGATTGCTCAATTTGATGATGAAGCTGAAATTATTAATATATTCCCCTTAACATCACCATTTTTTGGACGAGAAGTATCCATTTATGGTCTTCAACAGCTTAAAATTGTGTTCAAGCAAGATTGGTGCATAAAGTAGTACTCACAGTTATAGGACTTCAATATTTAAGACCTAGCCTAAATAACACCCGTGAATATGTAAATGAAACTATGGCAAAGTGAGAAGAAGGAAAAAAAAGAAAAAAAGAAAAAAAAAAGAAGGAAATTTAGCATTCCTATTAATGAAAGTAGGATTATAAATTTGGTAGGCAAGTGACAATCACCTAACCACCTCTGTTGCTTCATCTTCGTTGGCAAAACAGAGGTCAACATCCCCAGACTCGAGTAATTTCAGAAGGGGTGCCCTAAAGTTCCGAACCATCTGCCATATCAAAAGTTGTTCAACAATGATTTCAGTTTTTTATTTATTTATTATTATTATTTTTTAAAATAATAATAATAATAATAAATAGATATAGATTACATGAACATTGGTGCTCAAGTGATTCAATTGGATACGAGAAAATAAATCAAGCAGCTAAGGTTGTACCTCAAAACTTGCCAAATCCAAGGAGACAGAAACTCCCTCTTGTTTGGCAATCCTAATAGCAGCATGAATAATATCCAAATTGTATATTCCATATCTCAATGCCAACCACTGGAAATTAATTATGATAGTTAAGTCAGCAGAGATTACCAATTTTTACAATGAAACTATTGACTAAACTGAGATTGCATTTTGAATAGATTATGACTATGAAATAAGGATCAAAGCAGGACATAAAGTGAGTAGCACCATTTTGATGATTGCAACTTTATAAACCAGATCTGAGTTAATAACAGTGAAATTGTTGTTTCTTTCCAAGTCGAGGAGAGACATTTTATCAAAGTAATAATCTTGGTTAATGTTTGGGTAAATTACATAACGGTTCTCTATAGTTCTAGGGAGATTTCACTTTGGAACTCATAGTTTCAACTTCATCAATTTAAACCCCACAATTCCAATTGCATTTCAATGTGGTCCCTCCATCAGTTATCATTAGGATTTTGGATGGAAAAATGACACGTCCAAAACTAGAGGGACCAAAGTTGAATTCTAGTGAAACTATAGATACTACTATAGTGTAATTTATTCATGTTTTTTTCTTGGGCGGAAATTACTAAAATGCGTCATGTGAGTCGCACATGACATTTTTCTGTCCAAAATGCCAATAGCAATTGACGGGGACCACAATGAAACACAATTGTTAGTCTAGAGTTTAGATTGATGAATTGAAACTATGGGCACTAAAATGAAACTTCGCTAAAACTAGTACCAGTATAATATTAGGTTTTAGTAATTACATTAGACATGAATCCTAATGGATGAACATGTGGTAAGCTCTAAAATTTAAACTTCATATAGATGCTATTGACCTTCGATCCTCTAAAAGTTTCTCTTGTCAACTCATCTGCCTGAAAAAACAAAGACACCAAAAAGTAGGAACTCAAATAAGCTTACATTGCATACATATCACACAAGTTTGAAGGATTATTCTGAATCAAAATTCAACACAAAAGATAATCTCAAGCACCTGAAGTCTGACAGCATCTGAGAGACAAGGTCGCATTGTACGGTTCCCAAGTGAATCAACCAAGCAGACACACTAAAGTTTACAAGCAATTAATATCTCATTTACTATCCATAAATTTGTTGAAAATTATTTATGAACTACCAAAGAGGACTAACAAAGAGCTTACCTGTGCAGTTGGACCAGTTTTCGTCATCAATCTAGAGAGGTTTACATCATTATAAGTCATATTATGTACAAAAAGTTGGCCTTGTTCATCATTCCCACATGCACCAATTATTCCACATTTAATCCCAAATCCAGAAGCCAGACCTCGAATTGTATTCGCAACACTACCTCCGGCAATTGTCTTTATACGATCCAGGTCAGTTATTGATGGAAGAAAGCGGGTTTTCACCTCACTAAGTATATTTTCCAGTTCTTCTATCGCAACCTGTTTAGGCAAATTGAATATGATGAATTTGATCACAAAACAAAACAAAAAAATGTCCATCATTTTATTACACAAATAAACAGAAACTTCGATACCACAAGACAGGAAAATAAAGAACTAAAAAAATGGGGGGAAAAAAAGAAAAAAAAAAAAAAAAAAGAAAAAAAAAAGAGGACCTATCTAGCAAACAAAGAAAAACCAGACCTTATTCGCAAATAAACACTAGATGGGTTATATCAACAAACCATGCTAGCAAGTTGAGAAGTAATTTTAATCAGAAGGAATTTTTGGTTTTGAATTACAAAGTAATTGAGCTTTCTAAAGCTGTTCATGAAGAGAAAAGATGATTTTTGATTTTTCAAGTAGCTTTGAAGAACACTGTAAATGCCGCAACTCATCATTTTGTTACTCACAAAGAAGAGTGATTGATCAGCACTTCAAAATTTGAAGAAAGTTTTCGATTTGGCTCATAAATAATCATTCTATCATAGAAAGTTCTTTGGACAATTGCTATTGAATCTAAACTCAAAAAACATGGTTAATGTCATTTAAAACTCTGGTATAAACAACATCAAAAGAATTAAATGGGCAAATTAGATTGTATGTAAATTATAGTATAAAAGGAGAAAACTTACTCCTATGAAGCTCCTCAAAATTGGATAGCATTATCACAAATAAAAAAAATTGGTAAACTACACTGACCACCGGAAGTTTGAAAAAAATACACTAAATTCTCACAAGTTTGAGACAATTACACTAACATGCCTCTTAGTAAGGCTAAATGAATCGAAATTAATATAGATAGTTTGAAAACATCATTTTTCACCCATATAACTATCAAATTATGCGGATTAAAACATCGAGACAACTCAATTACCCCCCAAAAAATATTAGGATTTACAAAATTAAACTTCAGTATTTATTTTGTTACAATGATCAAATTGTGATTTTATTATTTTGGGGTCATGAAAAGTAAAAAAGAGTAATACATTACCGGGGAAGAACCACCTCTCTCGCCAGGGATATGATCAAGGAGAGATGAATCAACCCTTGCCACATGGTCCACTAGAGCTGACGGTTGAAGTCCCAGAATCAAAGGAACCTCATTCTCATCCTTATTGGGCATCAATGGAACTCCAAGTGCTTCTGCAACCATCTCTCTCCCCTTAACTTTAAACTATGCTTGGAAGTTGTTATATACTGGACATTGATTGCACATTCAGAGTCCCGTAGCCGCACCGCATACATGCAGGCCCCACCTAAGATTCTCATTCATTTTTTATTTTATGTTTTTTGAAAAATTCAAGAGCACCCTTCTTCGAGTTGGTCACGTTATAAAATCTTACTGCTTATGATTTTATTAACGGTTGCTATAGTTTAGATCTTGTGTTACTTTAATTTATAATTTTTCAGTTGTAACATATTTAATTTTAAATTTTAAATTTTATTTCAAATAAAGACAATTGAAAATACCTTTACTCAATTTCATGGATAAAATTATGGGGAATTTTTTTTAAGGTCGCTGGTATTAAAATTTTATAGCATAAAGGACACTCAATATTTTCATGATGTCTAAGGTCTCTCAACATCAATCTAGAGAAAATTCGATCCAGAGAATTTCTCTGGACATATCACAGAGAAAATTTCAAATTTCTCTGGACACATCACAAAGAAAACTCCAAATTTCTCTGGACAACAATAAGGACTAGTGCTCTATTTCAGAGAAAATTGGGATGGTCCAGAGAAATTCTCTGATTTGGACTAAATTTTCTCTTGGTTGAACTAGTGCTCTGTTTCAGAGAAAATTGGGTTGGTCCAGAGAAATTATCTGGATTGAACTAGTGCTCTGCAGAGAAAATTGGGTTGGTCCAGAGAAATTCTCTGGTTTCTAGTGCTCTAATTAAGAGAAAGCTGGGTTGGTTCATCTCTGGTTTGGACTGAATTTTCTCTAGACCAAACCAGAAAAAAAAATTCTTTGATTCATCATTTTCATCCTAATCTCCTAACCAAACTTTAGACAAGAAATTCCAAGTGGGACCACATCAAATTCATTTTCTAAGAAAACAAACAGTGCAAATGTTTCTGATGTTTTGTTCTAACATTTGAATCAATGGATTCAACTAACAGACTCATAGCAAAAGTATATTCCCAGGACATGACATAAAAAAGTTCCACAATGGTGCAAATGTGTTGTAAAGTGATATACGAATTATATGAAGTTCAGGAGGTCACACATGAATCATGTAAATATGCTTGCTATTAGCTACAAACACAGTGCATTTTTTGATATGCCTATACTAGCCACAACCAAGAACAACACAAATACTCACTATGACCATAACACACAGCAGCCTTTCTATTACCATATTGTTCTCTGCACTGAATTGACACTTCAACTGTGTGTGATTGAGGGAATTCTAGTAATCACCTGTGTTAGGGTAGGTACTCAGTTTGAAAATTTTCTATTACCAGAGAAATTTCTCTCCACAGAAATTCTGGAAATTTCTCTGGATTTCAGAATTTGAAATTCTGGATTCTCTGTGTTTTAACCAAATTTCTCTGAACTTCGGAATTTCTCTGGACTCTCCACCACTTCGGAATTTCTCTGGACTCTCCACCTTCTCTCTCTTCAACCCCTTTCTGCTGGACTCTCTGAAGCACTCCAGAGAAATTTGAAATTTTCTTTGGCTTCACTAAATACCATGGTAAGAAGCTTTTGGAAAGTGATCCTTTGCTGCTGATCCTCCACTGACAACATAGCAGTGATTGCTACCCTTCCAAGGACCATCAATGCAAACCTAAGTTCATTCAATTTTCTTTCTACATTTTGAAGCTTTATTGAAATCTCTGCCAAAGTCGAAGGATCTTTACACTTTGATTGACGCTTTATCACTTCAACTGCCTAGTAAAATGATATATTCAATATATCACTACCACCATTCCTCTAGTCTACAGCAATACCACCAAATATACCTAGATGTGGAATCAAAGAGTACTTGTGTTTCCACTTCTTGGCGGAGTCTGTCATAACGATGAGTCAAATAGCGAGCATCCTCCAAAGGAGCTCCTGTTATTGATGCCTGTAATGGCTCAGAAATCTGCAAGTAATAAACAAGGTATAACCCCTCCCCAAAAAAAAAAAAAAAAAAAAAAACCACAGAAAAGAAAAGACGAGGAGGAAGACGACGAAGGACAAGGCGGTCCACGGTGGATCCAGTTGAGGCTGCCTCTTATCTCGCCATCTGTTCATCCATCTTCGGAAACCACAACAGCTCCACCGCCATTGAAGTTATATATATGTTTGTAAACTTATTCTAGAGAGATAGAGAGAGAAGTGGAAAGCTAAGGTTTGATTTCAATCAAATTTCTCTGTGATACATGGGTGTGGGAGTTGAGGGACCTTAGACATTATAAAATAATATTGTGGATCTATTCCATTACTAAAAATGGGAGAGGGACCTTACACTAATTTTCCCTAAAATTATCAATTTGATAAAATATAAAATAATTTGACAAAAACAAAAGTCAAAAAAAAAGTTAAAATTTTTAAAATTTATTTATACTCGTTAAAAATAAAATTATGTAAAATTATTAAATCTTTTAGACAATTTTTTTTTTACCAAATTAATTTTTATTATGTGGTTAGATGATAATCATGTAATGGATGGTTATTTTTATTTTTATTAAATTAGTTTCTATTTTTCTAAAAGTCAAATATGACGACAATTTTGATATTATTATTAAACCAATCCATTAAATCAAAAAATCCAAAACTCAAACATTTCATATATTAAATATATCGATTAGACATTAAAAGCGTAACAACCACTCATTACATGATCATCATCTAAACATATAATAAAAATTAATTTGGTAAAAAAATATGTCTAAACGATTTATCAATTTTATATAATTTTATTTTTCGTAGGTAGATATTATTTTTAAAAGTTCAAAAATATTTTTTTGACATTAATTTTTGTCAAATTAATTTATATTTTATCAAATTGACGACTTTACCTTTGAAATTGAGCAATTATATCTTCAATTATCTTTATTTAAAATAAAATTTAAAATTTAAGATAAAATGTGTCACAATTAAAAAATTAAAAATCAAAATGACACCAGTCTTAAATAATAAAGACTAATTCGCCCATTAAAAGTTTAAAACTCAATAACCCTTAATTGGTTGAAAGAGACACCACCCTCTCTTTACCCTTTAGCTACACAAATAAATAACGGAAAAGTTTAGAAATCCACCTTTATCTACCTAAAAAACCTTTAGCTACACAAATAAATAACGGAAAAGTTTAGAAATCCACCTTTATCCACCTAAAAAATTCTGAGTGAATGATTGTATAGTGAAAATTTATTTGTATTATGTGAGATTTATATAAAATTTATGTGAAGTATGACGGAGATTAATTTTTAAATAATTTTTGAATTAATAAAGATAAGTTTGTAATATTATTCATAAATAACTAGGCAAATTACGTTAACGGTTCTTATAATTTGAGATTTGTATCATTTTGATCACTGACTTTTTAATTGTGACACATTTGACCCTAAATTTCGAATTTTGTTCCAAATAAGTATAACTGAAGATACTATTATTCAATTTCAAAGGTAAAATTGTCAATTTGATAAAATATAAACCACTTTGATAAAAATAAATGTCAAAAAGTATTTTTGAAGTTCTAGAAATTATTTCTACCCATCAAAAATAAAAATTATGTAAAATTGATGAATCTTTTACACATTTTTTTTTTTATCAAATCAATGTTTATTATGTGTTTGAGTGATAATCATGTAATGAATGACTGTTTTTATTTTCATTAAATTAGTTTCTATTTTTGTAAAATTTAAATATGATGATAACTTTGATATTATAATTAAACCAATCCATTAAATCACAAAATTCAAAATTAAAAACATTTCATATATTAAATATATTGATTATACATTAAAAGCCTAACAACCACACATTGCATGATCATCATCCAAACACATAATAAAAATTAATTTGGTAAAATAAATAAATAAATAAATGGGTAAAAGATTTATCAATTTTACATAATTTTATCTTTGGTGGGTAGATATAATTTTTAGGGCTGAGCAAGGAATCCGTGAAATCCGTAATCCGATCCAGTCTAATCCAATCCGATAGGTTTGGATTGGTTTTTTGAATCCGTGGTTCGGTTTCGGATTGAAAAATTAAAATCCGTAGTACACGGATTGGTTCCGGATTGGAACCGATCCGGACCGTATACAAATAGTATATATTTTTATTATACATCCTCCCTCATAGTATCTTCTTTTATTCTATATAAAATCTAAACTCAAACCTAAAACCGTATAATATCTCTTTTTTATTACTTTTTTTTGTTAGTTTTTAGTTTTAATTTGTAATGGTCTAAATATTTATGGTGAAATCAGTTTTCTCATGGTTGTTTAAATTCTAGCACAGTATGTCGCTATTATAGAAATAGATGTTGCTATTGTGGAACTAATATAGTGCTATGTTTATATTTTTATGAAATTAAAGTGTTATATATATTTTTTTGTTATTTAATTATGTGAATCCGTGGTTCTAAACCGATCCAATCCGTATTTAAATGGATTGGTTCGGATTGGTTCCATGATTTAAACGGATTAGATTGGTTCCAATTTTTCAGGAACCGTAGATAACGGATTGGTCCTAATTTTACCCCAATCCGGTCCAATCCGAACCATGCTCACCCCTAATAATTTTTTTAAAAAAACAAAAATATTTTTTTGACATTTATTTTTGTCAAATTAGTTTATATTTTATCAAATTAACGACTTTGCTCTTAAAATTGAGCAATGGTATCTTGAATTGTCTTTATTTAAAACAAGATTCAAAATTCATGATCAATTGTGTCACAATTAAAAAATCAGAAACTAAAGTGACACGAACTCCGAACTGTAGAGACTATTAGTGTAATTTGCCAAAAAAAAAATTTGAGAAACTAGTATTTCATTCTCTCTCTACTTTTGAGAGCTTCTCTCTTTACCCTTTTCTTCTTCTAGGGTTTCCTTTTTGAGCTCCGTTGGGGGTGGGGGAGGGGGGCTCCGGCCTCCGGCCGCCTCTCTCCTCCTCTCTACCCCCTTTCTCTTCCGTTTTCCTCTGCCATTTTCTGGTCAATAAGCTTTGGAAGCTTTGCTTTCTATCTTCTCTCTCCTTGTGAGGTGTGTTTCCCCTTTTGGTGGGTGTACAGTCTATCTTTCTCCACTCTTCCTTCACTCTGCCTCACTCCAGTCGTAGCCCTCCCCAGACCCACCGTCTACCTCCTCTATGCTTCACGCCAGCATCGCCAACACCACATCGACCCCAACTCTGCCACTTTTCGCTGGATCTACTGCCTCCACACACTGACCTCCTCGATTTTGGCTTATAGGAGCTTATGTACAAGCTCATGGTGGAAGTGTGCTAATCCACTAGTTTGAGGTTGAGTTTTGGTCTTTTTGTTTTTGTTTTTTCGGTTTGGTTTTGCCTATGGAATCCATAAGTGCTTGATGACGCTTACCCACTTTGTGGTTGTATTCTATGATCTATTATCGGCATGCTCTACGGCCATTTGTTGGCCTCTACTTGCAGTACGTTGTGCAGCTGGGTTTTCTTCATAGTTTTACTCCTATATTTTCTTTGTTTCTCATCTTTCCTTTGATGGTGTAAGTGTTTTTTTTTTTGGATGGATTCTCTCCTTGTAAGTGCCGTTTGGCTACTTTAATGATATTCCTCTTTTGATCAAAAAAAAAAAAAACCCATGGTTTTCATCTTGATTTTGCACGCTTTAGATAATTAGGCATGTCTTGCAACATTTTCAAGCATGTAGAAAAAGTGGCAATTCCCATCGTCCACATTTTCAAGCATCTCTCTTAACCTCTCCACTACACAATCAGGCCTAAAACTTCTCTCCACCACACAATTAGGCTAAAAAGATTCACGATGTAATAAAGAGGGTGTCTTTGTCAACAATGGATGCACAACGTCCATAATGCATATGCAGCATACACCAAATTGTGCCTTTGCTACGATTACTTTTCAGATCATGCTTTTGCTGCAATTCGTGGGACCATATTGATCATAAGGTCTATGTAGTAGGGTAAGATCTACTTGATCATTCATGTTTCATTAATTATTTATGTTTATGGAGGTCACTTTGGATCAAAATTTACTTGACAATTCAAGCTTTAGAGGATTCTTAACTTAAAATAATCAATAGCATTGTCCTGCACCATTCATCAATTTCATATAAAGCAGACCATGATGCAACTAGCAGAGTTTTGAATTTTTTTTCCTCCCACCAGCCGAAAGCAACATAATTCCTTTCAGAAATGCATAAATAATAAATAAAGGAGAGAGAAAGGAGTGGGAGAGAGAAAACATAAACAACCACTCTCCTGCTTTAGCTGCTACTGGGTTTTGCGGAAAATGAGCCAACCAATACAATCTTACTAGAGCAATGAATTCCAATCAGCGACAAAATTGTTCATTGATTTCATCTTAAATGTAAAGATCCACAACCACAAAACATACCTCAAGAAACAAGAAACAGAAAACAGGAGTTTCTCATTAGCCAAACAGGATGAACAGAGCCGTCTGCCAGAAATGCCTACAATGATTAAGTATTTAACACTTCGCCTAGCTCCAAAAATTATTAGATATGAAAGGTATCCATTCTCCATGAACCTCCGTACATAATAACAAAATATTTGTCAACATCAAACCCACGAAAGGATTCCTAACTTTTGAAAATAGCACTTTAGGAAGCCTTTGGTCCTTTGTCTGGTAGGATATTATCAGGAAGGATGAGCTCAGGAGGTGTTTCCCGAACAACGCCCAACATTGAATCGTACTCCTCGTCACGGCGAGCAAACTTCTTGCGGAGAACCTTCTCAAACTCAATCTCATCAAAGCTCTTTGCATTTTCGGCAGCATGAACCTGTGCTAAGTTGGTGTAATTTGTGGCTGATTGGGCGATGAAGGCTATCTCTTCTTCTGTCAGCTTCCTTAGAAACTTGGCTGGATTGCCTCCCCACACCTGTGTGACAATCAATTCAAATTTATTCATTTGGCCAACTTCAGTCATGTAAATGCACAAGTCCACATGAGATTAAAGCTTGTTGAGCTCAAAATCCTAGAAGAGAGAAGGAATAATAACTTTAGGTTCCGTTTGTATTTAAGGATTTGAAATGCATGGATTTGACATTAATTATTCAGGGAGAATAGCTCAAATTTCAATTTGATAATTTACCTATGTATTTGAAGATTGACTTAAATAGTTTTATCATGATAGATTTGAAATAATTAAAAAAAAAAAAAAGTTATTTGAAATCATGCTAATAATTCTCCTTATTTGGGATTGCCTTTGGGGGCTCCTTATAAGGCAAAGGGGGTGTGGGATGGGGTGTTGGAAAAGGTTCAGCGCCGGCTTGCAGGGTGGAAAAGGCAGTACCTATTGAAGGAGGGGAGGCTAACTTTGGTGAAGAGTGTGTTGCGTAGTATTCCGACTTATTTTATGTCAATGCATGTCATTCCTATGTCAATGGCTCGTCGGCTAGAAAAGCTGCAGCGTGATTTTATGTGAGGAAGTGATGGTGGGGAGTTTCGGTATCATCTCATTAATTGGGAGCAAGTCTGTTGCTCTAAGACGGCTGGGGGTTTTGGGGGTGCGTAGGCTGTGTAAGTTTAATTTGGCTTTGTTGGGGAAGTGGCTATGGAGGTTTTCTCAGGAATGGGATCACTTGTGGCGTAGGGTGATGGCTTCCAAGTATGGGTTGGGGAGGGGAGAATGGCGTACTAGGGTGGTGGGGGATTCTTTTGGGTGTGGGTTGTGGAAGGGGATTTGGCTGGGCAAGGTCCAGTTCTGGGATAGAGTCCAGTTTCAGGTGGGCGATGGAGCTCGAGTGCGGTTTTGGAAGGATAAGTGGTGTGGGGAGGTTACCCTTCAAGAGTATTTTCCTCTGATCTATCATTTGGTGGTGGATCCTGATGCGCTAGTGGCGTCTTAATTGGTTGGAAGGGGTGAGGGGTTGGTTTGGGATATTGTACTTCGTCAATATACGCAAGATTGGGAGGTTGGGCAGTTGGTGGATTTGTTAGCCTTCTTATACAGGGTTAAGGTTAGGCGGGAAAGAGAGGATGTTTTGGTTTGGGGAGTTCCAAGGCTAAAGGTGTTTTTTCAATCTCGTCTTTTTATTTGTCCTTGTGTGGTGGTGAAGGAGGGGAAAACCTTGGCGTTCTGTGTGGGTCCCTAGTGCTCCATCGAAAGTAGCTTTCTGTGTGGATAGTATTGGTTAATTGGTGTTGCATGTTTTGTGCGGATGCGGAAATAGTGGACCATTTGTTGATTCACTGTCCATTTGCTTCTCGTTTGTGGATGCTTGTTTTCTCTTTGTTTGGAGTGGTGTGGGTTCAGCTGAAGATTCTTCGTTGTTGGGAGGGTTTCTGAGTTGGGAAGCAGCGGCGGGAGGCTTGGGGCATTAGCTCCTTTGTGTTTGATGTGGTTGCCTTGGCTGGAGCGAAATCGTCGGATTTTTCAAGGAAGTGCTCAATCCATTACATGTTTCGAGTCTCAGTTTTTGGGTGTTTTGTACAACTATGTGTCGAGAAGAGTGAATCCAAATTTATTTGTTATCTTAGATTTTGTTGATGATTTAGTTGGTCAGGTCCCTGTTTTGCGGGGTTCGTTTTATATTCTTTTAGCATCTTTTTGATGCTATGGTTCTAAAATTTATTTATCAAAAAAAAATTCACTCTCCTATATTTTATAAAATTCAGCCTCAAATCCCTTGATTTCAAATCCACATCTGTCCAAACAGACCAACTGATCAAAAAAACATAAAGAATGACTAGATTCAACCAGCTAGATGGTAATTGTCTTTTAGGTCTTTTAAACCCTAGAATATACTAACAAAACTCCACACCTGCATGCAGACTGACCAAAACAAACATGGAATTTGGTAGGTAATTCCTTCAACAAACGCACACCCTAACGTATAAGATCAGAAGTAGCTATCCAGATATATTTGAGCCTATACTCACAACAATCTACCGAGGTCTGCACCCAAAAGTGTATACCCCCAATGGGGACTCTTTTCAACAAAATCCCATCATTGATGACAAAAACAAGAAAAGCCAAACATCAGATGGTTAGCTCCATTTGCAGTCAAAGCTATCTTCAAAGCCACAAGACTGAACATGCACAGGCCAAATCATGATTCCACCCATCTTTTTGGGTGTTTCTATTACCACCTCACCAATACTAACCTTTTTTTCACAGACCAAAGCACAAAATTCCTGGAGTTCAATAGATTGTAGAGTCCTATTTGACCACACAACAGATAGTTTCATGAGGAAGGCCTACCTTTCCATAGCATTATTCCAATTGCCAATGACGAATTTCTATTTTCAAAATATTGAAAGCATGACTATTGCTATGATTAGTTGCAAAAAACAAGGAAAGTATCATGTAGATCCTTAGAATTTTAAAGGGATCCTGAAAAGAAAGGAAAAAAATGAATAACCAACAACAGTGAAATGTTTACAAACCTCTCCACAGGGGATCCTTGTATTCTGCCTCACAAGGGCTCCAGCAGCAACCATGGCATGTTTCTCAACAAATACCCCATCAAGCAAGGTTGCACCCATACCAACAAATGCCTCATTCTCAACGGTACATCCATGTAAGACAGCACTATGACCTGTCCAGTGCAACTAAGAAATTGTAACAAAAGATGCAACGTGAAATACCATAACAGAATCAAGTCTATATCAATTAAAACTTGGACAACTACCACTCACCTACAGTGACATTGTCACCAATAATAGTAGGTAAAACCTTCCCTGCTAAATTAGATTTGGCTACGTGAACAAGAGAATTATCTTGTATATTTGTTCCCGATCCAATGCTGATGTTGTTCACATCACCTGCGTACAAGAACAAACAGCATATAAAACACACCCATGTGCACTACAAGCCCTTTCTTTTTTCCCTTTTAAGAGGAAGTAGGTGATATAAGCCTAAAATCAGCTGAAAAAACTAGAGCCAATAGACAATGTATAAGAGCTGGTTGGTTTCAAGTTTCAACACAGAAATCAGTACATTAAAATATTTCCCATAAGAATTCAGCAAGGGGAATAAAAGAACAAGACAATTATAACTGATTTAATGAGTTCTGCCAACTTTTACAATTATCCAAAGGGAAAATGGGCAAATAACAGCCACAGCATCAAGTCATGAGAGTCAAAACCCATGACAATTGGTTTTTTACTTCTCCCAAGTTCATCAGCCTATAGCAATGAAAGCAAAAGGCAAGAAGCAAGATGAAAATATAAGCACTATAGGAGCCAAAGCTACCTCCTTGTTTCTATTCCCCAGCCAGCACATTCATCCAATAAATGGTTCATGAAGTATGGAAATCCTCGCATACAGATACAGTCTCCCATCGAACGCTACCGTTCCATCACAACAACCACTGCCTTACCATCTCTTATGACATCCACAACACATTGTTTCCTGCGAACCACAACCCATCCCTCCACCCCAAGAAGAGAGAGAGAGAGAGAAATCAGCACCGCTACCTCACCACCTCTACCATTTTCTACATCATCACCACTAGCTCCAGAGCGGCTTCCACCTCCTTTTTGCAAAACTACGAAGTCACTTGTATGATCTTGTTATTACTTTAACATCCAACACCGTAACCACTTTTGAAACCATCTCCTCTCAAACCCAAATGAAGCACTAGCTCCACCAGGGATATTATAAAAATTCACTATCTTGATATGAATTTAGTGTTCAATTTTGTAGAATCTCAATTTAACACCACCCAGGTTAGGTAAAATTATTAACTAGCAAGTTTGGTGGCTCCATGCATCATACATATTTAATTCATGTTAAACTGTTAAAAGCTTAAGACGTTAGAGATGGTGTATTTTTAATCATTTATGCCCTTCACAAAACCCCTTACGTGTTGTAAGCCACTTCATATACACCAAACACATGCAGACGAGTAGTATAATTATCGTGTAGGAGATGAGGTTCAAACAAATAATTTTGGCCTACTCTGATACCAAGTTAAATTGTTACCAATAACCTCATCTATAAGCTTAAGCTACTTAAGAGGGTGTAACTTCATTTATTCATATCCTCAACAATATCCACACACAAAAATTGCCATAATTTCATCTTTGTCATATCTTTGATTAAAGTCGGAAGAATGTCTTATGATATTGGATCTACTAATCATTCTTCTGCCATTGAAGTGGTGCAGAACCATTTGGAATCACTTCATAACCAACTCTATCCTCTTATTTGTAGCTCCAGGCTTCTTGCCAAATCAAATTACAAGTCCTCTTCCAACTTCAATGCTCCCCCATGGCAGATATATCACCATTTGGAGGTCTTATAATCGGCATAATGGATGGTTTATTAGCATCAATCTTGTCTCTGACCAGCATCCAAAATTCCCATTACATATTTAGACCCAAAATTCATTCTACATGTTTGAAATGGAAACCTTGGTACTTTACAATTATAGAAAATTCTCGTATTCACTTCAATTTATTAGAGGTCTTATAATTGACATAATGGATGGTTAATTAGCATCAATCTTGTCTCTGACCAGCATCCAAAACAAGCAGATTTCTTCTATACTTCAGCAAGTTCCCATTACATATTTAGACCCAAAATTCATTCTATGTATTTGAAATGGAAACCTTGGTGTTTTACAATTATAGAAAATTCTCGTATTCACTTCAATTTGTTATTCACATTAGAATACCAAATGTGGGAAGGAGCAAGCGAAGTACAGCCAATCTCTTGAGAAAGTAAAATGACAACCATCTCTACTTCATGCACACTACCCAACACAATGTATCTTCTGTTTGTTTTCTTTCTTAATTTCCTAAACAAATTTCCCCTTCAATAATATAGTCCACAGGATTTGGTCACACAAAATACCCCACAAGTAACAAGGAGTGATTTAAAACGGTATGAAAATCCACAGAAGTGATGCTATTTACATCACACTAAATGGCCTTGGAAATAAAAAGTTATCCATGTTACTCAGGTTCAGAGCTGCTGACCAAATAGGAGCCAATTGGTTTTGAACATGACATGTAAAAATTTGTGTCACTGAATAACATGGCATTGGCATCAATGCTATTTGAAATTTTCTTCTAGAATGAACAAAAAAAGAGTGAACAAATCCACTCAATCTGGGATGCCATGTTACTAGACGGGAACTCCTATTCTTGAATAGTGCAAGGCCTAAAACAATACATGTGGGAACCTCAGTGAGCCCCCCATATGAAAAGATAGGATTTTCACGAAGCAGAGGACCAGATTATATTATACAAGCTGGGAGGACAAATGACAGGCATTAAAATAAAACATGTTCTCATGTGGATCCCGGCCAAGATGACACATACTCTTATGCCCTTTTAGCTAGACAGTTCCAGAACCTCAATGCTACTATAAGTCTAGACCGCAGCAGGACCTTACAGCTACCAGTCTGTAGGAATAATGAGGAAGCAAGAATGAGAAAATCATAGTTGCAGAAAAAACATGTATCCATAAGAGAGAGAATAACCCATTGGAAGCACAGATGATCATGCTTGAAGAAAAAAAAATTGTACCCAAGGAGAAATGTACAATTTGTTGAGATTAGCTTAGAGGCAAAGAAATAAAGATTCTCATTCTGGACATGATTTAGAGAAAGCAATCAATTACTTAAAGAAATACAATAAGTGCCTGACAGAAATTGAAACATGTCCATTGACTGTCTCACCATCAGCAGGGATAGCTATTTGACTAAGAATGAAGGTTCCTTAAAATCTTATTTCTATAATAGCCCTGTACTGTACATAACCATTTCGGTTCCATGTCCAAGTTTTAGTTCAAAATTAATGGATCTAAATCCCAACTCAAATGCTTGACTCTTAAGATCTTAGCGCTGTCTTAAACTTAAGATAGAATTCCTCTTTTAGCCCTAAATTTAGAGGAACCATCTTGCTTATAGTTTGCAACACAAAGATACCAAGCAGACAACCAGCATAAAAACCTTAATACAGCAAGATTAAAAAATTAGAGATCACACACCATATATTTCAGTGCATCATAACGAGAAACACAAGACAGAAGAAGGAATTCAACAGCTGTACTGAGCTCATTGGAAACATTCAGAAAATTTAAATTTAAATTTAAATGAAGTAAAATAAAAGAACAGATTTAATTCATGCTGTAGCTTACCTCTCAGAACACATCCATACCAAATAGATGAACCTCTTCCGACCTGAACATCTCCAATAATAGATGCGCTAGGGGCTATAAATGCTTCCTTATCAACCACAGGAGCCTTGTCAAATACATTCATGAGAGTCCGGTGCCTAGACACTAAATAAGAGAATTAAAATAAAAATACATAAGCCGATGCTGAGGTTAGTAAATAAAAAGTTCAGTGCATATGAACTAAGCAAATTGAAATTCACAGAAAATTAAAACAACATTCCATAACATGCAAACAATGGGGAATCATTCCGAAAAGGGTTCTGTTAATATGACTAAGGAATAGAATCTAAGAAGCATATTAGGATGCCATGTTCTTGTACATGTCAGACAGTTTCCGATATCAACACTCCCCGAACACACAGAAACACAAGACCAACATGCATCCAATCATGTCTTATTATTGGTTTATTTTTTTAAAATTAGACAAATTCTCACCACAATGGGACACACATCAGTTTTTACATATTTATCCCTCCTCCAGGTTTTCTATATTTGAAACCCTAAACTTTTACAACTCCCAAATTGTTTGTGACTACTTTAGTTTTTCAATAGTGAGATATTAAGATTTGCCATCCCCATTTCTTTTCTAACTGTACAAACCTAGAAAATGTACTATTTATTATTTTCATATAATAAATAGAATTATTTTCTATGTAAAAAGATAGAATAAATTTTATTTTCCTATACATGCATACATAATAGATATTTATTTATCACCGTGTTTGCACCATGCATGTGTCCTAATTTTCAGAATTTGTTAGGCAACCACTCTACATAGTGTTTGTATCCATGCTTCTTGGCACATAAACCTTTAATTAATGTGACAATAGTTAATGAGAGACCAAAAAAATAGAAAGAAAGAAAAGTGAATTAGACAAGTAAATTAGTTCACCTACAAGCCATTTTTGCATAAAAGAGAATGTGAGTCTCTTCACAGCCTTATTCTCTACCTTCATAAGGGTTTCCTTGGTTGAAACAAATGGCGGGCATATCAAATTTGCTTATCCATTCTTGTTATATACTTATGAAAAAAATTAGAGAAGAATAGAAAGAGATATAATAATAAGTGAAATAAAACAAAAGTAGAATAGATAGATTAAGAGAATTGAGAATGGAAAGAACTGATAGAGAGAAAGTGTAAAAGAATAGAGAAGATGAGTAGAGAAATCGATAATCATAGAAAAGAATAGAGGAGAAACAAGGATGCAGAGAAGAGAGGAACAAAGAAGATAAAGGAAAAGTGAGGAGGAGGGGAGAGACAGAAAGAGAGCCAAAGCCATTCCAACACTTTTATAGGCTTCATAAAACCCAATAAATAGATAAATATCCTCCAAAATTAATCATGTTTAACAAGTAACCTAAAAACACTAAAATTGTATCATTTAATCTTTTTCTTAAAGTCTGAAATGAAATGAAATGAAATGAAATGAAAAAAAATATTATGAGAGAATCTCAAAAATAGTTAATTAGCTAAACTACCAGAAAATATTATCGTCTTGCAAGTCCCTCACTGGGGCTTGATTTTCTCTTAACATGACTTGACTTCTCTCTCTATTGTCCTTGCTAGGGAATTTTGCCTTCTAATTGATTGTTATCCCTCACAAGGTTCTCCAAGGTTCACATAACCCTAGGGCTGCATTACAAACAAATCACAACGAACCCATATTCAAAACCACTAAACTAGTCAAACTCCAAATTTTTATTTGAAACCAAAATAATTTTTTCAGCAAATCCTAGCCTAGACAAAGCAAAGCTACAAGAAAATAAAGTAGGCTAATCAAGGTTTAACAACTCAAAAACTTCTTCAAACAGTCAGTTTGTAAGCACAATTCTGAATACTAAACCTTATTACTTTAAATAAATAAACTTAAAAAAAAAAAAAAAACACCTATAACAGACTCTAAAAATATATATAACTTAGAAAATATGAAGAAGAAGAACTCCGAAAATATGAGGAAGAAGGAATATATTTCTGTTATATTCAAAACTTCTTATCTTACAAGACCAAATGACACTCCTTATATAGGAGATATTACAAACATCATTATAACCCATTATATGCCACTTACATATTATATATTACCACTATCTACCACTATCATATTATATACATGCCACTATCTACCACCAACACCACTATCATATTATATGCATGAACACAATTTCCAGCAATATATATATATATTTATAACAAACTTCAAAGATATGAGTTTAAACTAGATGCAACAAATCATCACAGTATAGAGTAGATATTAATCAAAAGCTTGAGATCAGGTCAAACCTTAACTACATGACACTACAATCATAAGATAAACATCATGTCTTCATAAACAATTTGGCTTGCCAGGGTCAGGGATACCACATCCACTACAAAGCTAACAGGCATTGTATTGTTGACTAATATGCTAGTCTGCCTCTTTCCTGTAAGGCATTATTAGACTGTCAGCACATTAAAAATGTGCACACTCATAACAATCTTCACTCTCACCCATCTTTTCATAACTCTGATCTAGAAGTATTTTCTCTTTGGTTGCACCAGAAAATTTAAGGTAAAATTTAAAAAGGAATAAAGATTAATGAAAAATTTCAGTATAACAAATTAATGTGCCAAATCCATTGATCAAAATAAATAACGCGGCAAATTTATTTTTCTTGTAAATGGGAATTAGTCAAATCTCAATGAAAATCATTTTTTCATCTTCACATAAACACATACACTCAATTTGTCCAAGCCTACTGCCTTGGTGGTACGGGTGGTGATGAGCAAATTCCTTCTCTTTATGAACGAATAGATAGCTTTGTCTAATACAAGGGTTGAAGTAACGGTAGTGGCCACCATAACAGTAATGTTGACATGGTTGTGGAGTGTAACGAACGTAGCGTAACGATAGCGACAACTAGAGTTCTTCACACAAATTTGGGAAAATTTACCAATATACACGTTTTTTTATTTTAGAATCACATTCAGTGGGTCTCAAATTAATTTTTGGTGAATTTTGTTAGTTTTTAAAAAGGACCCAATACATGTACACTAATCATAAGTTGCTATGGAGATTTTTTCATTTTTTTGGATATACTTAATTTTCTTTACTTTAACAATTTTGCTATGGATTCCCCCTTGTTATGACAAAAAAAAAAGTATATCTATCAAGGCTATGTAAAATTAAAATGACAGTCTCATAAACATAAGTTCATAATACAAAATGACAACATAAAACTAATATAAGATTATATCCAAGCTTTGTGTAACAAATTTAACCCATAACCAAATAGAATCAAGGGAAAAAATATGAAAGCTTGTTGATTAAAAAACAAAAATAATGAATGATTGAAAAGAAGTGACGAGATAACTAAGCTCATCTAAACTTCATACCAACTCAAATCTTCCAGAACTTGAAAATTAGACAATCAAAACATGCAGATCTAGGATTTTCACATAAGTTCTGTATGTCTTTTCTATGATTTTAACAGCTTGAAAAAGAAAAATTAGAAAAAATTCTTATATACAAAATCGATTGAAAACATAAGCATTGTTGTCCTAATGGATGTAATGGCACTACAACAGCACTGTTACGGACGTTACAACCTTTATGTCAAAGGTGGCGGACATTACAGTTGTGAATTTCAGTCCCACCGCTATTGCGTATGTAACAGGTAGCAGTAACCACTAAAACAGTTACACAACAGTGCCATCAGTGCCCATTTTTTAAACCATGGTCTAATAGTAAGAAAATCACAAATGCCTAATTTTAGCAACATAACAAGTACAATGTACAACTACATATAACGATCAATAGGTACATTTACACGTGTACATAAGAGCCATGATTTGCCAAAATGGAGCACAACAGAAACAGATTCTATCAAAGGCCATTTCAAAGGTAATATATTTATACATTTACACGTGCTTGTGTGTATATATATATACACAACCATTAGCTCAATGACTCTAATTTGTATGTGTGTGAGAGTCAAATTCAATTACTCAACCCTAAAATGTCTCCAGAATGTGAAACACAAATCAAACGACGATTTGCGAGAACAGAAAATTAGGGTTTTGAGGAGCTTAAAAGATTTGATGATGGGAAGATCGAATCGTACGCTGTTCTTGGAAGTGGTAGGTGCCTTGGAGGCGGCAGCCGAGGCGATCGATGGCTTGGCCGGTTTCGCGGATCCAGAATCCAACGGTGTAGATTGCTCTTCCCAACGTTCCCATCTTCTTCTTTCTTTCAACTCTGCAAGTTTTTCAGAATAAAAAAAAAAAATTGAAAATATGAAGGAATGGAGAGACAAGTTGATGGCTGTTTTCAGCAGTGAAGGCAAAGCATTTGAGAGGGCAGAGCAGAAATGAGAGACTCCCAAGAGAGTGCGGTCACCACAAAGAACTGGCCAAGTGTTGGTGAATAGAGAGGGGCTAATGAGTAATTTTCATCTTTCCTCTTATTATTATCCGGGAATTTTGTCAAAAACCCTTCCTAATAAAACTTTAGGTTACATTTGATTTTGAAATTATGATTCTCTTTTTAGAGTTATGATTTAATCATTAAATTGTAAATTAAATGTTAAAAAAAATTATGAGTTTTAAAAAAAGTTTTGAAAAGTATTTTAAGCTGAGTTTTGAAAATAATTTTTAAATTTTAAATTTTGAAAAGAATTTTGAGTTTTTGAATTTTGAGTTGTATTTTAAATTTTTTAGATTTATTTTTTTCAAATATTAAAAAATATTTAAGAAAATTACATTTTTTTATTTTTAAAATATAATTTTTATTTTAAACATTGTATTTTTTTGTAAATATTTTAATATTTGAAACTCAAAACACAAATTCAACTCAAATCGTAACCAAATACATAATTCAAAACTCAATTCAAAAATTATTTACAAAACTTATAACCAAATACATAACTCAAAACGCCACATCACGTTCAAAACTCTACACTCAAATCATAACCAACACATAACAAAAAAAAAATTAAATATATTTATAAAATAAAATAAAAATAAAAAATATTTAAAATAAATAATAATAAATTTTAAAAAATTTTGAATATTAAAAAAATACAACAAATAAATGTATGAAATATAGTGCACATTAAAATAAATAAATAAATATTTAAAATATAAAATATTTATCCTAAAAAATAAAATTAAGAAAATTTTCAAATATTTAAATATTAAAAAAAATAAATCCAAAAAATTTCAAAATATAACTCAAAATACAATTTAAAACTCTTTTCAAAACTCATAACCAAACAAATTTTCTCTTTTCAAAACTGATAACTCAAAACTCGACTCCATACTCAAATCACAATTCTAAAAGTAATTTTAAAAAACAAAATAAAAAAATATTTTTTTGAATTTTTTCTTTTAAAATAGAGTTTTGAAAAAAGTTTTTGGTATTGAGCTTTTTTGAGTTGTGTGTTTGGTTATAAGCTTTAAAATTAATTTTTAAATTTAGTTTTGAGTTGTGTGGTTGGTTATGAATTTTGAAAAGTGATTTGAAAATTTTGCCCTTGGAATCATGATTCCAAAGGCAAACCAAACACAGCCTTAATGCATTAAGGACAAGCACAAACAAAAATTTCTTAAAAAGTCCAATGCATACCATTATTATCAAAATATTAAACTTTAAAATAATATAACTTTTCATATAGATGTCGGTTTTTAACAAAATTAGTATTTTTAAAATTTTCTTATAAGTTTGAATATTAAAAAAATACAACAAATAAATGTATGAAATATAGTGCACATTAAAATAAATAAATAAATATTTAAAATATAAAATATTTATCCTAAAAAATAAAATTAAGAAAATTTTCAAATATTTAAATATTAAAAAAAATAAATCCAAAAAATTTCAAAATATAACTCAAAATACAATTTAAAACTCTTTTCAAAACTCATAACCAGACAAATTTTCTCTTTTCAAAACTGATAACTCAAAACTCGACTCCATACCCAAATCACAATTCTAAAAGTAATTTTAAAAAACAAAATAAAAAAAATATTTTTTTGAATTTTTTCTTTTAAAATAGAGTTTTGAAAAAAGTTTTTGATATTGAGCTTTTTTGAGTTGTGTGTTTGGTTATAAGCTTTAAAATTAATTTTTAAATTTAGTTTTGAGTTGTGTGGTTGGTTATGAATTTTGAAAAGTGATTTGAAAATTTTGCCCTTGGAATCATGATTCCAAAGGCAAACCAAACACAGCCTTAATGCATTAAGGACAAGCACAAACAAAAATTTCTTAAAAAGTCCAATGCATACCATTATTATCAAAATATTAAACTTTAAAATAATATAACTTTTCATATAGATGTCGGTTTTTAACAAAATTAGTATTTTTAAAATTTTCTTATCAAAATCTATCAAATAAGATCAATGTTGACTATGAAATTCTTTAAAAAAAAAATTATTACAGTCGAAATTGATGTAAGCAGTAATAGTAACATATTGCTCTATCTCACAGTAACATATTACTCTGTTTGACAATAACATGTTACTCTGATTCACTATAACATGCTACTCTGATAATATTATCCAAGAAAAAATATATATATTTTACTTTGTCCTTACTCAATTATGTGTTCTCTCTTTAGGGAGTTTATGAACCAAAATAAATTGGGCTGTCATTTTCACCAAATTAGGATCCAATGGGAGGGTTTTGGCCAAATTTCCCTTATTATTCAGTGCTACTATTAGCACCTCATCAATTATTTAGGATTCCCATTTCTTTGGGCCTTCTCTTAAAAATTCTAAAACCCTTAAAATTTCTTTTCTCCCCCAAATAATACCAAAACTATTGTGAAAATATATCACCCATTTAATTGAATGCATACCCCCTCACCCCAAAAAGCATATCTTCAAAAAACCCTAACAAAACCCATTAAAGTGATTACAATTTCATCTCCACATACTTGTTCATAACCTGAGAAAATAAGTGTAGGGCCTTTTATTATTGATTCATAATTCCTTTTTTGTGGGTTCTGCGATCTCTACAAGTTTCAATTATTTGTTCCAAAACAAATAAGAAATGTTCGGTTACCTGTTTCCAAACAAATGAACAATGTTCAAGCCTTTGTTCTCGAATTTTGGTCTTATATTCAGGAGTTCAGTCCCGAAAAAATAACAAACAGTTTTTATTATTATTGCTATTTTTTTCAAGAAATTTATCCTTACAAGGTCGATCCCCTATGAGTTAAGAACATTATCAAAGCTATGAATCTCCTCTGAGCTTTTATTGTCATTGTCGGAGAAGTATAGCTAGCCAAATAGTTGCCACCGTTATCGCCAGAATATTACCGTCAAAAGGTTTTCAAAGTTTTAAAAGTAGGATTTGGGAAAATGGATGAGTGGTGATAGAAGTGGATGGTCTCATAAACCCTATCTCATGATGTAATGGATGTGTGGGCTTAATTGCGAGATGGAGTGTCCCCAAATTATTGATATCCTTTTTAGTAATTTCATTTGAGGTTATAATTATAATATAAAAAAATAAAAAAATGGGGGTCCAAAATAATTGATGGGGTGCTAATTCAGTGTGTTTGGTTTTAGTTTTTTAAATCCAGTTTTCTAAAAATTAAGGTTGCGTTTGGTTGTATTTTGTAAATGTGATTTGAGAGTATGAGTTGTATTTTGAGTTTGTGTGTTGTAGAATTATGATTTGAGTGTAGAAAATTTGTTTGATAAAGAGTTTTAAAAATAGTTTTGGAAAAGAGATTTGATTTGAGTGGGGAATTGTTGATGTGATATTTTATATGTGATACAAAAATTTACAACTCCTAACTAAACATACAACTCAAAATTATTTTAAAGCACATTAAAAATTAAAAAAATTTCAGAAAATATTTTTCCCAATTATATAAATCAATTCAAAAAAAAAAAAATATCTGTACAACAGAGGACATCCGGGTGGATGTCCCCAAGGACGTCCGGGTGGTAGTCCCTAGGGACGACCGGGCGGTCTTCCCCTGGCCAAAAAATATACAAGAAACGCGCAGAATAGACAGAGCTTTCGGCAGAGTTTTGGAAAATTAATTCCAAAACTCTTACCAAACATGGAGCTGAAACTAACATGTAGAATCACATTTCAAAAGCACAACCAAACACAGCCTAAGTTTTTTGTTTTTTTGTGTTTTTTTTAGTGAATATTTAGTGAATTTTTTAAAGATTTTTTTTCACAAATATTATACTTTTTAAGTGTATTTTATGCTAGGTGTGTCTAAAATTTTTTTAAAATTTGCTTAAAATATTTTAAAAAATCAGTAAAAACAAAAAAAATACGGAAAATGAAAAAATTTAATTTTCTGAAAATAGAAACCAAACAAAGTGTAGCAGCACTCTTATTATTAGAGTGATTCTACTTACACCATTACTTTACCTCTTTACACATTTCATACGAGATTTTTTTTTTCTTTTTTCAATTTTACTCATGTGTTAAATTACCTTTAAAGATAAAACACTAAAATTAAATATATTTTATTATCTCATTACACCCCTTACTCTTTAATCCCTACTCTTCTTTCTCAATTTTTCTTCTCTCTTACGCATCTCCTTTCAAATAATGAGAATCACAGTGTTTTGATCATAGAAGAAAGCAATTAATGACGAAACAGTCGTGAAGAACCATAAAAAAAGTGAATTTGTGAATTTTTTTATTTGTTTAGTAGGTTTTTGTTTCATTCTTCTAGATTGTTCTTCGAATTTTGTTCAATATTTCAAAATCGAATAAAATAAAATAGGTTGGCATCACATTTTTGAACAACAAATATATGTCTAGTAACCAACTAGCAAATAAAAGATACATTTCCAATAACCCAAGACCGAAATTTTTTTAATTTGTTTGACTACTCATTACCGTGTATTTTTAGTTTTTTATATATATATATATATACATATATTTTTGCTTGGAAATATTACACTTCTACTCAACAATGCAAGTCTTGCATTATTAGTGGATTTCAGTCATGAATTCATTACAGATGAGATTTGTTAATTTTTTATGAATACGATTTTTTGTTTTATTTTTAATTTGTATTGAATTTGTTAATAATTTGACGTATAAATGTGTTTATTATCTTTTAATTTTTAGTAGTTGTCAAGCATTAATTAAATTACTTTTGACATTGAGAAGAAGATTGGATTTGTCATTATTATAAAGATATCAGATGCGGGAGGTAATGGCAAAAAACTAAAACTTACACTTGAGCTGCATTCGAATGTAGTGCACTACGTGCAACTATTTGGTTCACAAGAAAGGGTTGATGACTTTACCTCTATATTATCCTACTTCGAATCTAGCCCTGGATTGAATTATTGGATGACTATGCCCGACATAGGCCATTTGATAACATCATACTACCAAGTCGTTCTTTATCATTT